CTAAACTTAATTAGTTTATAGAACTATTTAATCTTATTTTAGAATTTTTAAAGTTTTAAAAATTAAACTAAAAATTTAAAATCACAACTATTAAGATTATGTTTGGTACAGTTGGTGAAAAGTTCTTTTGGATTTCAAAAGTTCCAACTGCATCAAATATTACAATTTGTGAAAAATATATCACTTCTTGTAAGTTAGTGTTTTATTTATTTCATTGCAAATTTCTGAAGTACTGAATTAGTATTTTTGTAGAAACTTCTCATTTGAGTTTTAATGAAATTAACTTAGTGTTTTTATTTTATCCTTATTTTTTTTTATTTACAAATACAACACTTTTACAACAATTTATTTTCAACAAAATTTTTATTAAAAACTTTAATCACACCAAACGAGTATTAAATAAAGTCTACTTTTTCTATCTGTGCCCTTAACTAACATTAATTAGAGTATTAAGTGTGAATGTTTCATTTAATTTATATCAATTTTAACTGACAAATTTTTACCTTTTTGTTATGACCAACCCACCCTTTATTAAATACTAAAAAGTTTTGAAATTTAATTTTAAAAAAAATCTACCAACGCGGCTCCTACTTCTACCCGTCCAAATTACTTCTTTCCCCTCTCAAAAAATCCTAAAAATCAAACCTATGCAATTTCATTCATCATTAAAAATTGAAGAAGCAAACAAATTGAAAGCAAGTGCATACCATTAGGCCGAAAAGTAATTCAAGTTTTACTCTTGTTATCCCCCCTCCCCCTTCCCCTAAACTGCTAAATATTGATGTTTTATAAATTTATATATTTTGAAATCGTTATAAATACAATGTTCGATAAAATTTTTATTTAGCGGTTGGAAACTAACGAATAACGGTCAAAGTTTAAACCGTTAGTGGATTGAAAAAACTAGTTTATGTAACTTTTTGTACCAAATCGCTAACGGATTAAAATTTTTTAATTTTATTGACAAATTTATCCATTTTAATTTTTTAATTTGTGATCACATTTTTTAATTAATAATTATCTCATAAATTTCAATTTTGTTTTTTTACTTTTAATAACATTAAATGATTATAATATTTTTTTTGTATATTAATTTATAATTAAAAAA